TATGACCAAGTGGTCATAGTAAATGGGGAGACATCAAGTGGGAAAGTTCCCCCATTTTGAAATTTAGGGAGACCACCTATACCGGGTAGAGAAGGACCCGTAAATGGAAGAAGTGCACCACCAGCTCCTGGTGCCTCGGCCGTATCAGAGAGAGGTCATGCGGCTTGCCCATGCTGTACCCATGGTGGGACACCTGGGGAGGGAAAAGATGTTGGCTCAGATCCTGGCCTGCTTCTTTTGTCCCAGGATTCACAGGGAGATCGCAGACTTTTGTGCAGCCTGCTCAGTGTGTCAACTCAAGGCACTCTGGCCAGTGGAGAAAGCCCCGCTAATTCCCCTCCCACTCATGAGTGTACCCTTTGAGCGGATTGGGGTGGACATCGTCGGCCCCCTGGAGACAAGTGCTGCTGGATACCAGTTCATCCTCCTCATAGTTGACTACAAGGCCTTTTTGCCCAACTAGCCCCGCCCTGTTTTACCTGTAGCCAATGCCAGTCCTGGAGGGAGAATAAAAGAGAGGAACCTGGCTCAGTTAGGGGCTAACCAGCAAAGAGACAGGAGCTGGTTCTGTCATCCGCAGGACCTGAGCCAGAGCCACCTACTGGGTCAGCCACAGGAGCAGGTAAGCCTCCATCCCTTCCCCTGGTGCAAAGGGGGAGAACCAGAAGGAACCCGCCCTGAGGAGGGGGAAATTGGACTCTTGGGGCCATGCCCCAAACTTAGGAACCAACTTCCTGGGCCTGGGGCCTCAGCGGCAGGGGCCTAAACCCCGTGCCACCAGCTAACTCCGGGACCTAATCTCTAGGCCACCCTGCTGCCCAGGAGACCCGGCCACACCATCTCAACCTCAATCCAAGTGTGTACATTTTTAATATATAAGGCAACACCTCCTCCCTTTTTTCCCTGCCCATCCTTCCTGAACAAGCTGTACCCTTCCATACCAATATTCCAATCATGTGTATTATGCCAACTATGTCAGAGTTGTGTTTATTTACTAGCATTTCAAGTTCTTGCTTATTCCCCATACTTCTTGCATTTCTTCTTCTTGCACAGGCTCCCATTTATTTCAGTGTGACGTTTGGTGTGATTAAGTTCTGTAATAGGAAGGAAAAACAACGGCATAGAGTTCCTCAGAAGTTTTCTCTCCAGATAAATACCCTTGAGTATGTTTGTGTACATATATAGTTGTAACTGAGCCAAGTGCAGCACTATTTCCTTTTAACAGAGATAACTGAATCCTATATGCTGTGAACTAGATATTCAGTGTTGGCATGTGTTACTTATTGAGTTCAGTAATACACCAGCCTCGTTGGAATACTTTTTTTTTTTTTTTTAATCCTAACACTTCAAGATGTTGTGAAGAAATAAACCACAATACTCAAGTGTGACTGTAATGGACAGGAGTGCTGACCAGCACCCGATGACTAAGGGGTTAACTCAGGTACCTAGCAAAGGTGTTGGCTAGGGGGCCGGGAGAACCAATTGAGATAGAGGGTTAAAATTTGAATTGGATATAGATATCTTGCTTGCTTTCTTTGTGTGGGAAAGTTAAAGAAGGACCTGAGAGATACAGAATGATTTAAACCCAGGCAGGACTGCTAACCAGCTTCTTACAGAAACAGCATGCTTGTTTCCCGTTCCTCCCTGGCAACAGAGGCGTAGCGAGGCGAGGGCAGAGGGGAACAGTTGCTCCCAGCCAGCACACTAGGGGGATGCCAGATGGGTGACAGCGGGGAGGGAACCACTTCCCCTCCCCAAAGAAGCCGGCCTGCGCTGCCTGAACAGCTGGGGCTGTGGCACCCAGTAACTTAGTTCTGCGGCCTTTCTGCGTGGTGGGGGAGGGGAGGTCAGGAGACCCGGGTCTGCGCAGCTCTGACTGTGCAGGCAGTGCTTTCTGCCCTGGGATTCCCTGCAGGAAGGCAGCAGTCACTCTAGAAGCAGTATCCGCAATGTCTAGAGATGTCTGAAGGGATGTGAGGGCGACAGTGTGGCCCTTGTATACTATTGGGTTTTGAAAGGTATACTATGGGGTATACCTTTAGGATGGGTCTTTCTGAATCGGGAAGATATTACATGAGCTCTCCCAGTTCTCAATTATTGAAATCATGATTTGCTAAAAGGGCTGAATAATTAGCGATTCTCAGTTTGTAATGTGGAGGATGAATATATTTTTCTGCCAAAAAGGTCCAGCTTCTTGTGGGTTTTTTTTATGATTTTCTGCTCTATATTGTGGCAGCTTAGATCTGTGCTGCGCTGACACCACAACTAAAGAATTTGACTGGGGATGTGTGAATTAAAAGTCCATGTCCTTGGCAGGAACAAAGTACTTTCTGCCATCCTTTTTATACATAGGTTAAATAGAGCAGTGGTTACCAATCTTTTTTATACCACAGACTGGCAAACAAACTTTTGGTGGACCAGTAACATTTATTTGCATATTTGCATATTCATTATGGTAATTTTAAGTAGTCAAATGTTAGTTTACATTGCTTTTGTACACACATAATGCATATCGTTGTAATGAATCAGAGTTTACAGATATCTACAACGCCAAAAAAAATTCTGTTAAAAGAATTCTTTCTTTTATTATCTTAAGCCATTAACACCTATGTAAACTTAAGTTTAAAATATAATCATGAGAATGTCAAGAGCTAGGTCTTTTGTTCTGCCTCAAGCCCAGAGGGAAACAAGTTTGACCCCCAAATTCCCCTTTGTCCCCACTTCACTGCACTAGTTCCCAGCCCTGGAGAGAAGGAGACATGCACAGCTAGCTCTAACTCTCCCTGCACCTCCTCAGCCTGCACGCCCTTCATATGAACCAGACAAAGTGGCTCCAGCCTACCTGGTGCCCCTGGGGAAGGCAGGAGCAGCTGTAGCATGGGAAGCCAGGATGTTCCCACCAGCTTCCAGGACTGGGGGAGGCACATGGGGCAGGTGGGAAGGTCTCTCATCTCCAGAGGGGCCTCTGTCAGCAGCCAGCATCCTCTGGCAATCCCTCTGTCATGAACAGGGGGAGTGCTGACCAGCACCCAATGACTAAAGGGTTAACTCAGGTACCTAGTAAAGGTGTCGACCAAGGGTCCAGGAAAGCCAATTGAGATAAAGGATTGAAATTTGAATTGGATATAGGTTCCCTGCCTGTTCTCTTTGTGTGGGAGAGTTAAACCAGGAGTTGACACACACAGAATGATTTAAACTCAGACAAGATTACCATGCCCCTCCACATGGAATTCAGGGCATGGGAGAGGACTGAACAAAGAGAAAATTAGAACTGAGTGACAGGGAAATGTGAATCCAGTCGCGTTCCCTAGACTCCCTATACAATGAGTGGAGATAGACAGGTGCCTCAGAATAGGACTCTCAAAAGCCAGTACATTGTAATGTTTCCCCTTGGGAAATATCATGCAGAGAATTAGTTGTAAGCCCTGCCCTCTTATGGAGTTTGGCCTTTCAGGGCATATCTATACTTACGGCTAGATCAGCACTACTGCAATAGATGCAATGGTGTAAATTTAGCAGGTCTGGTGAAGACCTGCTAAATCAATGGCAGAGCACTCTCTGGTAGACTCCTGTGCTTCAGGTCCCTGAGAAGAGTAAGGTAAGTTGGCGGGAAAGCATCTCCTATTGACATATAGCGTAGACAGTGCTGTAAGTCAACTTGAGTTATCCAATTCATGTAGCATAGCTTAGGTTGACTTACAGCTGTAGTGTAGACCAACTCTGTCTGATATGCCGGCGGAGAATGGGAGGGGAGGCATCTCCCTTTGCTTCGCTCTCTGCTGCCAACTTTCTCTTGGCACAGGAACATGCGCCATTTTTGCTAGAATCTGCACAGGGGAGTAGGAGAATATCCCTCATCCACGATTCAACTCCTTTATTAACCAGATAGGGAAATATTCTGATGTGAGGCTCCCTCAATCTCTGATGCTGAAATTGTTGTATTGCACATAAAGAGTGAAAGAATATTGGGCTAGCAAGAGAACAAATGATAGTTTGAAACCGACTGGGAAGTGTGAGATCCAGGATCCAGTGACTAATTATAGACAGTGGAACAGATTCAGCAGGTGAAATAGAGGGATCATCTGATGTGGGCTCCCACTGGTTAGTGCATTCACCTGAGAAGTGGCAAATCCTTGCTGAATACTTAGTCTCTTCAGGTGGAAGGGGAACTTGAACCCATGGTCTCTTATATTTAGACCAATGGGCTAAAAGTTATGATGTTGAAGGTCCTCTTCCCCGCTGTTTCATGTAAAATATCATCTAGAAGGGGCAATCTGGGAGACACACCCTGAGTGCCACAGTAGGGAACAACCCTGACAGTGACACTCTGGGGAGAAGACCTAGGCAATAGCTAGGTAAAGGTAAGTGATGTTTGCTACTTAAATATTTTTGCTTTAAACATTCTGATCATAACTACTGCCCAAACAGCATTATTTCTTTTAAATCTACATTTAGTGCCTGTATTGTTCATTGTATTAGTTTGCTGATTGCACATTAGTTGATGCATTCTGTTCTTAAATTTTGAAGCAGGGTTCTTTGTTTCAAAGACAAATTTTAAATAAGCCTTCTCCAGAAGTGGTAGGGGCACAAATGTCAGACTTCAGACACTGAACACTGCTGTTTTTTGTGAAGAAATACTTTCTGTAGTTGATATCGCTCGTCATTGAATTTGAAAAACAATAGCTTGCATAGTCAGTATTTTATATGTGAATCATTGTATGAGATTCTGTAGTAACCATTTATGCATCTTGTCTAGAGAAATGTGTACTAAGAAACATGTATATAAACAGGCTAACAGATTAAGCTTTAACTATTCCTCAGTAGTATTTGTAAATCCTAAATTAACCCTTTGGGGAGCTAATGAGAGATTACATTTGACCAGTCTTGAAGAGGGTGGTTATTCTACCACTTGTAGAAATGAATGAATTTGTCCCCAAAGGGTTAATTATATAAAAAATCATTTTTATCATATTTTACTTTTTTCTGTTTTACCTTTTTTACCCCCATAATTTGTCTTTAGTTTTTATACTTTCCTTCATATCATTTGTTCTGTCAGGTGTTCCCTGGCCATCGCCTTGCCCATCTCCTTCCTCTCGCCCACCTTCTCGGTACCAATCAGGTCCCAACTTTCTTCCACCTCGGGCAGCCACCCCTACAAGGCCGCCTTCCAGGCCCCCCTCACGGCCATCCAGGCCCCCGTCTCACCCCTCTGCTCATGGTTCTCCAGCTCCTGTCTCTACTATGCCTAAACGCATGTCTGCAGAAGGTACAATACCACAATTTGTTCATGGTTTTTGTTTGTCTTTAACTCCCTTGTGAGTTTAATTACAAAATTGTTTTTCCTCTTTGTTACTTAACCTATAATTTGTGTTTTAACTTCAGTTTATCAGACTAAATAAAAAGGTTATAGAAAACTTTACAAAACAAAATATAAAGCTGTGAAATTTCTCAAGTTGGTATGAAATAAGCTCAGCTTTGTAACACCGCTCAGTGTTTTAACCTAGCAAATGGCAACACGCAGGGCCTGGCTGGTTTTTTTTTTTAGGCGGCTTTCTTAGGAATGATATTTTAAGGTCATTGTAAAAATCTAATGCATTCTGTCATGTAATACCACATAAACCAGACTCATTCCAACTGCTTACTCTCAAATCCCCAAATCCTGTTTTTGGTAAAAGTGCACTGTGAAAAGAGATTAGAATGTGTTTTTTTAAAAATGAGCCTATAGAAAATATAAACATTAATTATAATTTATATCAATGAGGCAACAATGTTGTAAACCTTTGGTAGCTAACAGTACATATAAAGGTTCACATTATTCAATCTCATAGTTGTGTGGAGAAATGTCTGAACTCTATGTATGATAGATTGATACATAGATATAGTGCGCTCCAGTATTATGGTGATGGGCACCTCCTTGAATGTGATTCTTAGTCAATCAAATCATCTAAAGAAATAGACAATACTGCATACCAGTGCATTAGCTTGAAAGTTGGTGGCCCCTCAAAATAGATATTTCAACAGACACTTCAGTAAGAGACACAGCTATCTCCCATCAGCTGTATCAATTGCTAATATGCCCCAACTTGCCTGCTTGAATCTCAAGATCCTCTTTCAAATAAGAGGGTAATAGATATACCCACAGGAATTTCCTTCATTGCTTTTGGCTATCATTGCTAGCCTTGTTGACTAAATCAAATTTGAGAATCCAGCATGCAAGTTCCACTGTTTTTAGCTGCTCTGATTCAACAAGTGTGGAATGAAGCATGTTTGAGACTTCAGGTTTCAATACTCCTCCAGCCAAGCTATAGTAGACTAGTTTGTTTAGCTCAGGTCACAGTAAGCAATATTAAAATGCACAATTCTTGAATTTAAAATTTCTTAGGAACTAAATTGGTGCTGCAAAACTTGAACCAAAAAAAAAAGAGAGGAGAGGCTAATGAAGCTTGTAACTAGATACCAAGATGATAGGCAAGTTACGATACCTAGATTGATTGCACCAGTAATATTCCCCTATGTGTCCAATTGCCCTGAACCCATGGAACCCCAGTTATGCTCAATGCCTGTTTAACTTGCTTGACTTGATTGCCCTACTAGTGCTTGCTTGACTTGGAGCCAATTGTAAAAATAGCTACATTAAAGAATGAGAGATTAGGTTGTGATGGGGTGCAGTCATGACATCTTGGGGCTGCTTCCTGGTGTGCTGACAAAGCCATTGACACCACCTTGCTCTCTGGGGCTTCTCACCACCCTGTCCTGCTGGGCCAGATCTCCTGGTCTCCCCCAGCCAAGGCACAGAGCAATACAGACACTGAAACTCTTGAGGCCTGAGGAGAGTGCAGTTTAGGTCCCAGCTTCCTGGGATACCACTCCCCAAGTGGGATCAAACCCCAAATGAATTGTTTAGGTAAGCCCCCTTTAACAATGACAGGAGAATATACACACTGATTGCTCCCCCAAGCAACAATTATTTATACTAGGTTTGATAGTAAATAAAAGTGATTTTATTGAGTTCAAACAGTAGGATTTAGGTGGTTGCAAGTGAAAACAGGCAGAGCCAAGTGAATTACAAATTTGAAATAACAGAAAACGCATAGCTAGTTCTAACACCCTAAAGCTTATTGCAAACTTACCCTAAAACTGTTCTTATTTCAGCTAAACCTCCAAGGCAGGGAAGATCTTTTTCCCCTGCAGTCTCTGGTTATCCTCTTGGGTGTGTCCTGCCAGCCAAAGACCAAGAGCCTGAAAACTTTGCATCCTAAATAGCCTTCCTTTTGGGCGGGAATTCTTTGTTTCCACATTCTTCCCTTCCATGGAAAATTACCTGGTCAGACCCTACCAGTTTGGGAGGTCACATGCCTTCCTAAGACCAACCACTGCTTAGACTTATAGGACAAAGGGGGCTGTTTACAGGTGAACAGGTGATCACTCAGACATTGAGGGAAAGACCCTTGATGGTTTTCATTTCCACATTTAAAACCATAAATCATTCCATTCTCCATATATCTAACTTTACACACAAGAACAATACATTCACCAAAATAACACATACAGATCCAGCAGATTGTGACGTTAAAATTGATCGGTTACATGAGGTATTTTGTCCAAAGCATCTTCGAGGTATGCATATTTGTATCTATAAGACAATGTCATAAAGCAATTGTGGGGGTAAAACTGTCACACAGGTATTCATAGTGTGGGGTGTGTTCTTCTTCCCAGGGCCACCACGGATGTCTCCTAAGGCACAACGGCACCCTCGAGGTCACAGAGTCTCTACTGGTAGGGGTACAATTTCAAGTGGCTTAGAATTTGTATCTCATAATGTACCAGGGGAAGCATCTACTTCTACAGTGGCACGAGGCAGCCCATCAGGTGGGACGTGGTCATCAGTTGTCAGTGGGGGTAGGTATAGCATGGCTTATTGCAGATTGCTTTCAGGGATATTTTTAGAATATTAATCTTAAACTTCCAGACAGTTCAGTCTTTGAATAAACATCAGTTCTGCTAAATGATTGTAATATTGCCTTAATGGAACTTTTTTTGCCTTTGTAGTTAAGTGTTTGCTGCAATTAAACATAATTTAATGGAAGGAAAATGCCTAGGAGTTGGTGAAAGGAAGTATAATCTTAAAGCTATTGGAAGAGGCGAGTAATGGGGTATTCCCCACTCATACAGCTGTACCTCAATAGCTCCTCTGACTGAATTCATGTGCAGTTGTATATGAACAAGGACCTTGGGTAGAGAGGAGAGTGAGAGTGATAGGCCAAGAAAAGTTGGAATTAAATTTAATGTGAAGCCTTTTTATAAGAAAATTCAAAATTACATGTTTCTCTTAAAACTGTTCTAGGTTTTAAATGGTTCCCTTTCCATTCTTCTAAATCTGGGCTATTAACATGAAAACAGGTTTTATTTTTTAGTCTTTTTTTCTTTTGCCTCACTTGAAGTTGTAATCTTCTGGCATCACAGTTATTTGCTTTCAGGATGATCAGTGATCAGATTGCAATTTATGGCGAGGAATAGGCAGGAGGAGCAGATGGTCCCCTATAGAATATTTATTCTGTTCACATATATTTCTCCTTATGTAGCAGGTTCAACTCACTTTCTGCACAGCTCTTCCCTCAGGGTGGCTTTTGGGGAAGTAACTGGCTGCTGCGATGCCAACGTGCTCCCTTTAGGTGAGGTGTTCTCTTCAGGGCACTGCCCTCCGGCAGTGACCACTCTGATCTTGGTCTGCGCCCCCTTCTGGGGGTGGGGGGAGTGGGAGTCATTGTTCTTCCTCCACTCCTCCTCCAGGGTCCTCCCTACTCCCCAGGACCCCCAGTTCTTCTCCTATTCTGCCTGCCCGGTTGCCTCCTGCAACCCTGCCTTGCGGACTTATGGCCTGGGGCTTCCCTGGCTCAAACTCCCACAGCCAACCACAGCTGCCTCCTTGCGAACCACGGTTGCCTCCTTGAAGCCTGGCCTTTTAGGGCTGCCTCCACCCTCTGTGACTGCCTCCTTGCAGCCCTGGGCCTCAGGTCAGGTAGCCTGGGTTTGCTAGGCTGAAGCCTCTCTCATTGCAGGTCTGGTCTCTCTTCTCCTTCCAGGAGTTGCTCTATATGGCCTCCAGCTGGGCCCTCGTTAGCTGCCTCAGCTGGGCTTCCTCCTGACTCCAGGTCTCAGCCCCTTAAAGGGCCAGTACAGGGCAATGCCCTGCCACAATATGTATTTGGTGATCCTGGCAGCCACCACTTAAAGAAACACCAGGAGACAGCAAAACATATCACTTGTGCAGCATCTTTATCTTCCCGGTAGAACACAAATCATTTTAGACAGTGCAAGTGCTGAGGTGTTGTTTTGCCATGCAATATCAGAAAACAGGATTCCAATCCTGTTTGCTGACCATTTCACAATATTTATCAAGACGATGTACCCATACTTATATATGAGCCACCCCTGAAGTTCTATAACGATCTGTGTCAGTGGAATACTTCAATTCTCCAGTAGGCATCCATCTCTAAAGAGGAGCATGTAAAGCAGTGGTGGGCAATCAGGGGCCCGTGAGCTGCATGCAGCCTATTGGAGTTCTTTTTTTCTTTACTGTTGCCCACACGCAGGCTAGGGATGTAAGTGACTAGTTGACTATCTGATAAGCATATGCGGGGTGGGGCAGGAGCGCAGCAGGGAACTGGCGGTGCTTGCTACATTTCAAAAGAAGCAGCGCCGCAGGAGCAGGGCGGCAGCAGAGGACTCAAGCAGGCATGGCGCTTCCACCTTTGAAATGTATCAAGAGCTGGTAGGGCTCTTGCTACATTTCAAAGGCAGAGGTGCCCTTATTGACAAATTGAATAGTCAATGTAAATTGCATTGACTATTTGATTAGTTTTTTAAATTTAACATCCTTAATGTAGGCGTGTCAGATTCCACTGGTTTTCATTCCTGTAGCTTCTTTCCTACCATATTCCTAAAGTGACACACATGCAAAGCAAGGGCACGTAAAGTGAGGTGCGTGCTGATTACACACAACATTATGAGAGCCAGGCGCTTCCTCTGTACCCAATCACACTGCTGCTAAAGATCCATCAAGTACATCCCACAAATTCTAAGTATGCAAGCAGAGTTAGCAATGACTCTATTCCAGGAGACTGCTGTGGTTGCGATGGCCCACTGAGATGAAGGAAGGCCACTCATACGGCCAATTCACTAGCATAGGTTGCCCATTGCTGCTGTAAAGCAAGTCAAGTACAAGATACTTATATCCTTCAGTCATTTTTTTTAAAAAGATGTTTTACTTTTTTATAAAGGGCTACCTCTTTTGCTGTGCCTGAAACTGTTAATCTGAGCTCTTGTGGTTTGGCCAATTGGGATTGCAGCTTTGTTGTAGGGCTGCAAGGCAGTGATTGAGGGTCTATCTGCAGATAAATGCTACATGTAATCTGAAATACATTTCTTAGTTCTTTACAATATATCTGAAAGGTGGTGTGTATTGGGTTGTTGCAGTGATAGATCTTGTTGTTATAGTAGTTTTGGGTGGTTCTAGCTAGTTCTGTGTTATGGAATAAAATGGAAACTTGCAACTCTCTGTGGGTATGTCTACACAGCGAAATTATTTCGAAATAACTTTACTAACGTCTACACAGCCAAACCGCTATTTCGAAATCAATTTGAAATAGCAGAGCGCTTATTTCGAATTTGATAAACCTCATTCCACGAGGAGTAACGCCAAATTCGAAATAGCTATTTCGAAATAAGTGCTGTGTAGACACTTATTTTGAAATAGGGGGCCTCCAGCCTTCCCAGGGAGCCCTGGTGGCCACTCCAGACTCAACCAGGAACACTCCTCTCCCTCCCCCCTCCCCAGAGCCCTTAAAGGGGTTGACTCTGGCCATAGTGCCTGTGCCAGCTCCAAGCCTGCCAGCCCAGAGCCAGCAGTCACTGCCCCTGACCCAGTGGCCCCAACACACGCGCCCG